ACAAATTATTACAGTAGGGATTAGAGGACCCTGCTTGTTAGAGCTTACAATCTAAGAGGGAAGGTCAATTGATACAAAAGGTAATAACTGTGGGGGATGGGCTGATGGAGAAAATTAAGAAAGCAATTTCCAGTGGTGGTCGCAAAGTAGATGTTAAAATCATAAATCGGGGGAAAGCTAAAGTATACCTCTGACCTCTCTCAGATTTAGTAGTCCTTTTCCAGAATAGTTGCCTAGTTAAACGTTACAGTAATTCAAAGATATATAGTAGTGGTATATATTTATACCAGGCAGGGAGGTTTCTGTATATCATCATTGTGTTGAGTAGGGAGCCTATCTATTTAAACGGAGTTCAGTGCTGTTTTGCCTACAGCATTCTGTGTGTCCTGAGACTGTGATCCTGTATCCTAATTTCAGCTGCTGACACGGCTCATCCTGACTACTCCTTGAACTCTGCCTGTACTGAACTCGGGTTGTCTTCTGTTCTGTATATCACCATTGTGTTGAGTAGGGAACCATCTATTGGGTATTTACTGCAACTGCACCTGTTTTTTTATTCCTTTCAACAAGAACAGGAAGTGTCTCATGCTTGTTAAGAATAAAGATTTCCCCTAAACAACTGCAGCCATTTTAGCTTCCTGAAGAACACCAGTAAAGGTATCCTCCATTCTCTCTTTGATACACATACCTTTAGGTTCTTTTATTCTGTTTGTTAAAGTCACATGCTATACATAGCTAGATCGCATTTAAATGTATTCAATGTGATTTGTAGTTAGCAGTTTGTAAGAAATGTATTCATTGTATGCATTTGTGAGAGACATGTATACAAACGTATTGTAATTTCAGTTTATGTGATTGTATTGCAGTTTTGAAGAACTATTCGCAAAAGTAAATTCAGTTTTGGAATGAAACACAATGCTGCTTCTGTCAGTTTTGTTAGCTAGCTGTCGGCTAACCATTAGCAGGACAACACATCTTCTGACCACAGCTTCTGCTGGCTGCTCTTGCTACTGCTCCTCTGATCGACTCCTGACCTGGCTTGTACCTTGTCTATGCTTTTACCTACACATCTGTACCTGAACCATCTACCAGTGTATGACCCAGCTTGTCTGCTATTATTCCTGCTGTTGCCAGTACCTGGCTACCATCCAGCTGAGCCTGCTTATCTAGTGCCTGCTACTAGCATATACGTTGCCTGCCTGCTGTTGCCAGTGCCAGTGTGCTGCTCCTCAACTGTTATTCAGCCAGTCAGATCATTGATGATTACCCCTGCCTGGCGTGGACACCTGCTCTGCTGCTAGCAAGACCTAGAGGCACTCATGTCACTCCTGCACATCCTGTTCATACTATCAAGGTACCTTTGTCAGAGGTGTAACAGAGGCCTTCCTCATCCTATAAAAGAATGCAGCACACCTGATTGGCAACTAGTCCTGCCCCTCCCTCTCCCAGTCTGAGTGCTGCTGTACAGGGACTGAAAGAGACTGATACCAGATTCAGAAATTGATACATGTAATCCATGAATCAATTGTATTGAGTGACAATCCAGCCATCCTATCAGTTCTGAAGAAAAAGCGGAAGCTTTAAACGCATCACCTGACTCATCCTCACATTCCTATTGGATGTTGCCTTTGGCCCGGTCTTCCGTGCGTTCCACAGTGGTTATGGCATTCCTGACTGATGGCCCATGTTTACTCCAGACCCTCGGTGCCCGGGCTCCAGTGGATACACACCAGCCCCTGCATATGTCCTTTTGGGACCCGATGAATGCCCATATGCTTACCTCAGTTGTGAGTAGTAATTTGGGTAATTTTAATAAACTTGTATTTTATACTGCCCTTAGGCTGGCGCCCCCTTGTGCTTATTTTTATGTTTCCACAGAATTTTGCTTCACCCTATGGGGAGCTGCGGCTATATAGTGCTTATTCCATGGACTCTATGGACTTTTTAATACATGTTTTCTGATATTGCAACCTTATGTTAAGGTGTTTATTGTCTTCTCTCAGTGCCAATTACCTGTGTTGTTTTTCTTGCTCATCCTATCAGGCTCTTCTCCCAGGTACGTGATACGTATCATCACATCAGCACAGGATTCCCTCCCTAGTGGCCTGTTGCAGGCTAGGTTATCGAACATTTCAGCTGCGGATGTGTTGTCTTTTTTTGAGATAGGAAGAGGTGGTCCTGTGGGTTCCAGAGGAGTTAACCCTTTGTGTGCTGATGTGAAAAAAGGCCAGGAAAAGAAAATTACAGTAAGCATCTAATAACAATATTCTGTATTATTGGCAAAACCACATAAAAACATAGAAATGTGCACTCATATAAATCAAGAATTACATCCAACACTCAAAAATATCACAATGTAACTTTAAGAGGTCTCAGCTCAAGCAGAGCACACAGGCTGTGAATTGATATCCACACTCACGGGATGACTTCGGATAAGCCGCATCCTACATGTTTCATTGTGATGACATCTTCAATTACTGTATTTTTGAGCGTCGAATGTAATACTTGTTTTATGTGAATGCACATTCTATGTTTTTATGTGGCTTTACCAATAAATGGTTTTATGCGATGAGGATTCTTCTTTCTTGTTTTCACCCATATTTTATTACAACAGAGTCATACTGAGTAGGTCTCTTGGAGGATATACTAACAGGGGCGGACTGGGACAGGGGGTAGGGTGGCAATTTCCCCCAGTTCTAATGCCACTGTGGGGAGGCCCCAAGAGACTGGACCATGGCTCCCCAGCAGCTGCAGGGCTCTGAGCTGAGAGAATCTCTCTCTCACAGCCCAGAGCCAGCACTGAAATGTTCCCCCTCTCCCCCCCCCCCCCCACGAACGGAAGCAAGTGAGACAGCTGTTCCTGTTCCTCCTCCTCACACCCTCTCCTCTTGTTTCTGCCTCACTCACATTCCCCCGCAGTGTTATGCTTCAGAGAAGGAGATGTTTGGATGGGAAGTTTGAAGTCCAGCAGCCAAAAGAGGAAAGGTGCAGCCTGCCGATTCATTCATCCACTATGAGTGAAGTCTCCCATCTCCTTTCTCTCTCCTGCCTCCAGGTGAGAACTCTAATGTAAGAGGGACTCTAATGTAAAGGGAGCTCTGCAGCTTTCTTTCTTTCCTTTTCCTTTCTTTTCTCTCCTTCCATCCTCTCTTACTATCATCTTAACCACTTGATCTCCGGAAGATTTTACCCCCTTCCAGGGACGGACTGACAACTCATGGGGCCCCTGGGCAATAGGGGATCATGGGGCCCTGTGTCTTTGCCCAAACTCAAAAAAGCCTATGAAAAAGGTACCAGGGGCATCTCATGGGCCCCCCTCGGGCAGTGCCCGAGTTTCCAAATGGTCAGTCCGCCCCTGCCCCCTTCATGACCAGGCCATTTTTTGCTATTCAGTGCTGCATTACTGTAACTGGTGATTGCAAGATCATGCAACGCTGTGCCCAATCTTTGTGGTGAACATCGTAATGCAATACGCTGCACACACCTATGCCCAAAGGCTTCCTGGCAAAGAAGAGTCAAAAGTACCCGCTGCAGCCCCTGGCTGTCCAGGCCAACCCCCTCGGTGAGCTGAGAGTACCTGGAGCGGAACATCAGCCTGGCATGGGGGCTGGGAGGAGGCAGGGAAGAGGGAGAGCAGGAGGAGGACAGAGTTGCTGCACCATGGGCCTCTGGATTCTACTTGCCCCCTGGGCCAAAATTGCAAGTCAACCCCTGTATACCATTGTGATGAATTGAATATTGGGCCTATTGAATAGAGGGTCATAGGTTAGGGTGAGTCAGTCTGTGCGACTTATTCCACTTAGAATATTGAAGATTCAGAACATGGGAACACAACACTGCACAAGACACTTCTGAAGCACTTGACACTTTGTTTGCATAAGATGTGGATGTATTGATCCATTATCAGCATTTGGTGTTTAAATTATATTATTTATTGCACGTCATTTATTTATTTGATACATTTTTTTGTAAATAGGGAGAGGAAATTTGAGCTATCAATTGAGGCTTCTTGAAATAGCAGCTGCTACTTTATATCCTTTAGTGATCTGTGGCGCAGACATATATGCAGTATATACATGTTTTCATATTGATTTTCACATGTTTGATAATTGTGAGTAGCACTGCATTTATTTATATAGTTTTATTGTACCAGGTCTAATTTGGTATAATGCATTTGCAGGCCGATTTCATAAACAGTACAAACAGTAGGATGGATGTGCAGAGGGGGGTAACTCATAGCAATAAGATTTCAGCTCACGGGTATCAACTAATTTAATTGCTGGTTTGTATAGATTACTTACTTGCATGTAACCATCAATTTGTGCTGCCTTATTGTTTGTATTCTCTTTATGCTCTCTTCAGTGGTCAGAAAAAGACCAAAAATGATTGTGTCACTTTGGACCATTCAGAATTACCTATGAAAGGAACATGTAAACATTTGCTGTTATTGAATTTAAATGCAAGCTACATAATTCTGCAATAACTGTACACTTGCAGACATCTGAGATGACTCAGCATCTATTACAAAATGCTGGTTCAAAATGATTCTGTATATTATTTCTCATGCTGATGTATTCTTCTAACTCTCTGCCAAGTGCTCTAGCTTTATCATGCATTTTGATTCGTTTATTTATTGTGAGCAAGTATAAATCGTGATTGTAACATATCTGCCTGTACAATTCATTCATTAAAATAATGTGAATGCTCTGAGATTGAGGCTGCTGTAATGATGTACACAGATGAGGACCACGCAGCAATTTCATCAGGATCAGCTTCAGCTTGGAGCTGTCAGCAATGTGCAGCTGAGCACTGAGCATGTCTCTGAGGAGCAGCCTGCAAGCTGCTCATTATGCACAAAGGCAGCAGACGGAAGAGAAACACAACAGACTAAAGCATCTCTTCCTGTAGAGCAGAATGAAGAGATTTCTCTTTCTCTAAGCTCTTTCTTAATATGCTAGGGAAATGACTGACTGGCTAGAGAAGACCTATTTCTGATCAAGATGGGGAATCAGGATGGGAAGCTAAAGAAATCCTCTGGCGATGGGCAGGAGAGAATAGACTCTAGGCCTGACGATGGAGAGCATACAAAAAAAGGAGGCAGAAGGACCCTAGGAAAACGCAGCGACCACCATGGTAAGAAAAGAAGCAAGTCTGAGTCGAGATCATCCGTATTTTCCAATCTCAGGATAAGAAAGACACTAGCCAAGTCTAGAGATGGCACCTGCGATTCAAAGGAGGATGTCCTGGGGGGGCCAAATATGCAAACTGAAGAAATGGACAGTACCCTTTCTATTGCTAACTACGAAAACTCCAGAAATTAGCATCTCAGCAGATGAAGGAGGCCTTTCTGATACAGATGCTGATAATTTTGTCTGTAAGTCCTTGACAGCAGCCGCTGCAAATGAGACACAGGAGGGACAAAAGACCAGTTCGGGATCTGACACGGATATATACAGCTTCCATTCAGCCACAGAACAAGATGATTTGCTCTCAGACATTCAGCAGGCAATTAAGATGCAGTTCTCTCAGGAAGGGTGTAGTGAAGCTGGAGAATTGTCGAAAATGTTTCAAGGACAACTCACAAGCTCTCATACTTTATTTTGGGATGTCAGTGAACAGTTCCCATCTAATAAGGAAAAATTGCCTGGTAGCCCAGAAGAAGAAGAGAAGAAAACTATAATATCAAATGGTATTAGTGGAGGAACACCTGAAAATGTCAGTAACGAAATTCCTCTGGAAAAACAGTTGCCCTATTCAGCAGATGATAGACAAACAGTACCAAAGGAAATTGATGAGGTGTCTTCCATAACTGACATGGTTTCCCCAGCTGAGATTACCAGAACATGTGACAACACAGATGGAGATACTGTGGCTCAACATTTCATAGGAAATAAATTAGATGATGTATCTGATATGACTGAGGCGAAATTTGATTTAATATCTAAAGAAAATTCTTCTGAAAAACTTTCTAGCACTCCAGAAGTCCCTCAAGAAAATTTTTCTAGCTACTGAAAACAATACGGAAGTCAAAACCCATCCTGGAGGTACAACAAGCCGGTCTCCAAGTCCACAACAACCGCAGCACTTCAAAAAAGGAAAAGGTGAAGAAGACCAGATCACATCCAGCAGCTTATCAGGGATCAACAGCAAATCTGCAGACTGGACAACTGAACTAATCAAGGTGCAAACTAAAAACCTGACCAACAGAAGTTCTCCAGATATATTATTGTATGGATCAAAAAATGGTGGTGTCTCCAAGAATACTACAAATGTCCCTATGTCTTCTTTAAGCTTTCCCAATATACTTTCAGGTGAGGAAATATTAATTATCCCTTCGTTGTAAAATAATCAATGCTTCAGTTATTTCTGTCAGTTTTCATAATGCTTTTATCTTTACATGCGTTTATCTTACTGTCGTTACATAGGTATGGTTACCTGGGAATCTGAAAATATAAAACTGGCTATAAATTAAAAAAATTATTGGTTGATTTATTTTGAAGAAATAATTATACCAAAAGTTATTTTTTAACAGTTCCTAGTCTATTTTATAATTTCAAACTGTAGTGTTGGATGACCAATACATTACCAAACTTTGTTTGACACTAGGAAGACCAATGCAATTATAGCATATCTAAACCCAAGAAAAAACAATTCATAGTATTGCAGCTTACCAGTCCTTAGATGTGGTGGTTGCATTAGTCTTCTCTTTTCAAAACTTTGTTGCTTTTATGTAACTGGTTAATACTACTGTCAATTTACTCCCTGCCCTAAGTGACCACTGTACTAGCAGAACTGTCACTGTAGCACAGGGACTGTGTTAAGACATAGTACTGTGGCCATACACAGTGTGATGAAATTGAACAATCGATGCCAATTTTACAAAACGATTGAATAGAACATCAATTGAGCTGGGATAAGCAATGAGTGACAAAGAGCTATGATTTCGACTGACCCTTGTTGATTGCTTGTGCCAGAAAAAATAAACTGTACAGAGTAGACCAGTGGCTTTCTTTCACACGCTTACATGTAGAATGATTGTAAGTGATTCACAATGGCACGAAAGGCCCAAACGGTTGACCTTATACGATCTATTGTTTTTCACCACAACCGATTAATTATCGAAACCATTACTATCTGTCGTCCATTTTTGCCTTGTTTGTTCGATGTCTGATTTAATCGTTTTGCTAAATCGGACATTGATAGTGCAGTTTCAGCACCCCGGATATGGCCACCATTAGGACTACATCACACCTCCCTCTTTTCTCCATGGGAAGGGGGGGGGTTGTAGTTCATGGTAATAGCAGGGAACAATGCTAACTGATAACAGTCCAGTGGCAGAAAGCACAGGAAATTATCAGCTCACAAGATTTCTGGCTGGAAGCTATTGCTTTTTTTTTTTCTTTTGCACTTGTTGAACAGATATGATTAGACACACTTTCAGTGGTATATTTAACACACCAAAATGGAGCAAGTAAGAGAAAATCATTGTTATTGCTTACTCAAATGTTTTATTTAAACTTGTGTGTGGACATCTTTATACCTTGTACACAGACCACTATGACTTGCTCTTGCAGAGCCTTGGCATCAGGCTTTCCTCTCTGAATTTAAACCATGCTACTTAAATAGACGTTTGTGCTAACCTATTTAAAGTCAGTGATGTTGGCATGATGACACATCCACTGACAGGCCTAAAAATTTGCACTGCCCCCAAAGATGAAAAAAGCTGTGTACAGTAAATGTGCACAGAGATTGTGAAGAGGGTCGTTGCTGCAGCACACTATAGACAACTATGATATATTTTCTAGCTTACACTAGTTCAGGTAGCTTTACCTATGACAAGGTTAACTCTACAGTCGAGCTGTACCTTTATATTTTGGTTGTAGATGGATATTGTAAAGTTCAGTTTCAGGTTGTTAGTGTGAATCTTATGTATACATTTTATGTGCTGCAGATTTGTTTGCAATAAAAAAAATTTCTTTCCACGGAACCCCCCCCCCCCCCCCCCCTCATAAACCTCCTTATCTGACTACATCAGCACCATGTGTCTTTAAAATACAAAATAAAGAAGGAAGGTTGTACATTTGTACCTCCAAAATATAATTTTCTTACAGATCTATATGATCAATAAAATATTTGAATCAAATAAGAACAATAAAACAAACCACCAATATGGGCACCCATTGAGTTTAAAGTGTCCATTTTGTGCACACTATTAAATTTCCCACTAAAAAAATATCTATTTGTAAATAAGTAATCTGCTGTCAGAAAGGACAAGCTGATTGTATAATCTGTTGCAAAAGTGCTCCAAAGAGGCCTCCAAAGAGAATAATCCACAATAGGATGACACCTTGTCTATGACTGTGAAATGAACCAACACTATTGAAGCTTTACCCAAAAATGCTGTGATGGACCATACACGCTGCTATTAAACTATTAAAATTTGATTGATGGGCTAAACATGTGCACCCAAAGCTTTTTTTCAGCTGAAACTTGGCGGAACTCAGTTCTACCTCCTTGCTCAGCACTACTATCACTTGCAAACACAGAAGTCTGGCTTTCTGTGTTTTCAAGTGACAGCTTGTCTCCCAAAGGCTCCAACAAATCTGACCTCCTGAGCAACTCCCACTGAGTGCCGGATGGGGACAAGGGGAGTGCAGGTGCTCGGGGTGCAGTGCAGATGCTGACACCCCCAGTGGCTGATCTCCCTGCAAGTGAGAGAGGCAGAGCCACCTACAGTGTGCAGGATGGTACTAGAGAAGAAGAGGGGTCAAATTGAGATGTGGAAGGGGGATTCAGAGGTAAGCAGCTGTGGAAGAGTGCTGAACTCTGCACTATGTATGTAGAACACCCCTGAACTCTGCACTCTGTGTGTAATCCCAATGAACTCTGCACTTTGTACATAATTAACTCCTGGTATTTAACCACTTTCTGCCCGGCCAATAGGAAAATGATGGCCGGGCTCTTGTCGATCGGGGTGGGTGTCATATGACGTTCTTCCCGGATCTCACCTTGTAAGTGCCCACGGGGCCACGCTGCAGCAAGATCTGTCACTGGCTGTGTACCTCGGAAATAGCCGATGACAGATCTGTGTACCGGCCAGTTGCCAGTACCATGTGACCTGCTGTGACTAATCACAGCAGGTCACATGACAGTTGTACACCATGGATGGCTTCCTTTCATGCCATCCATTGTATACAAGTATGTCTATCTGTGATTGGTCACAGTGATCACATGCACAGGCTTGGCCAATCATAGCCCATCTGTGTCATGTGATTAACCGTGGCCTATCACAGTTTATCACAACTAAAAGATCTGAATGAATCGATTTCATTCAGTTAAATGCTTGCTTATAGCAAAGAAATTCTTATCACTTCCCCAAAGTAGTACAATGTTACTATGGTAACATTATACTACTTTGGTCATAATGTAATTTGAAAAGAAAAATCTTAAAAAAAGAGAAAAAATGTAATTAAAACAAAATGTAATTAACATTTTTTTAAAAAAGTATTAAATTTTTTTTATTACTGCCACCAGTCAGTGTCCCTGTTCACCACCACATCAGTTATATGATGACGCTGTACTGCACTGGTGACAGTATGTAAAAAATAAATTGTGAAATTTTTTTTCATTTCTTCATTTTCCAATAAATTATGACAAAAAAATTACAACTTCAAAAAACTCGCCATGCCTCTTGTGAAATACGCCGGACTGTCTACTTTGCAAAAAGGGGTTATTTGGGGGATATCTGTACTGTTCTGACAATTTTGGGCCTCAAGAACTTAGATTGGCTGTCAGTATGATTGATAAATTTTGAGATATATACCATAGTTTGTGAACTCTATAACTTTCCTACAGACTAAATAATAAATACTGATTTGGGTTATTTTCACCAAAGAAATGTAGCAGTATAAATATTGGCCTAAATTTATAAAGAACAATTATTTATTTGCAAACTTTTATAACAGAAACAAAGAAAAACGTGAGTTTTTTTTTCAAACTTTTTTTGTTAATTTAGCAAAATATAAAAACCCCAGTGGTGATTAAATACCACCAAAAGTAAGCTCTAGATGTGTGAAGAAAATGATAAAAATTTAGTTTGGGTACAGTGTTGCATGACCGCACAATTGTCATTCAAAGTGTGAGAGCGCTGAAACCTAAAAAAAAAAAAAAATTGTCCTGTGCAGGAAAGGGTTAAAAAGTGCCCCATATTGAAATGGTTAATGCCCCTTTAAAACCCTCCCACTTGAAATTCTACCATCAGTATCCAAGAGCTAAGGTGTAGGGCAGTTTTAAAGTGGCTTCTGCAGATGACGGCTTATCTTTCACAATCTGTACAATCCCATAAAGCAGCCACTCCCTCTTTCTCTAGAACCGGAGTCACTAAACTTTCTAAACAAAGGGCCAGTTTACTGTCCTTCAAAGTTAAGGAGGGCCAGACTGTGGCCAGTGGAGGAAGAAAATGTCCTTATGTTAGTGGAAGTAAGAAATGCTCCATCATTGGTATCAATGGGAGGAATAGTACCCCATTATTAGTATATATATTAGTATTATTAGTGCCCTGCCATTGGTATCAGTGGAAGGAATAGAGCCCGATCATTGGTGTCAATTGAAGGAATAGTCCCCGATATTGGTGTAAGTGGGAAGAATAGTGCCCCATCATTGGCGTCAATAAGAGGAATAGTGTCCCATCATTGGTGTCAGTAGGAAGAATGGTGCCCCATTGTCAGTATCAGTGGTAGGAACTATGCCACACTGTTGCTAGCAGTGGGAGAAATAATGCCCTGAGGTCCAGATAAAAGCAAGCAAAGGGCTGCTTCTGGCCCTCGGGCCGCAGTTTGGAGACCACTACTCTAGAAGGATGCCAGAAGTGCACAAACATGATTTATGATACCTTAGAGAAACTAAGGCTGGTCATACTTTATGCAATTTTTTTGTACAGTTTTCCTCTAGGTTTACCAAAGACATATAATATGAAGTCAAACCTAAACACTTTAAATTTGTATGCAGTCAGGCAGGTTCTTGCACTACATAGTTGAAAATAAATCTGAATTAAATTGAACAAGATAATTGTATAATGTAAGGTCCCTTTCACATTCCTATTGTGGATTATTCTCTTTGGGGCCCTCTTTGGCTACCTCCAGTCCCATCTGATCCAATGCGCCAAAAAACAAATGGTAGGAGGGGTCCATTCTCCTCCTTCAGGCCGGATTGGATCGGAGGGTAGTCAGGAGTAAATGCAGAGCCAGTCTGTTTACATCTGACTGCCCATAGGTTAGGATAGTGGACTGTGTCTGGTCCTCATAAGCGGAGC